GGCGTGTACACCGGTGAACATCGTGAAACGAAATGTAAGCGCAGATGATCATCGTTAAATGGTGTGTTAGCACGCGTGAAAAAATTATTCGCTTGTGACTAGTCGTGAACTGTGCACGACAAATTTTTCCACCACATTTTTCGCACGTGGTCAGTAGTGAAAAGATATGTGACCACGCCTGAAAAAGTTATCTGCCTGCGACCAGACGTGAACAGTTCACGAAAACATATATGTGACGTTTCTGCCGCGTGGCCGCTAGTGAAACTCGAGCAGCGTGTAGCGACCACGCGTGGATCTTTCGCGTTAATATTTCGGTAAAAGAGTTCCACTTTCAAATATGCGTCAGAATGTCTAGAACGAATTTTACTATAAAAGATAGCACGTCACATTAGTCCACATGTGATAGAAAAGAACTTCATGAAAAAATTACACGTGAATTAATATGAAGTGCTGTCTTTTATAATAAAATTCGTTCTAGACATTCTGACGCCTGTTCGACAGTGAAACCTTTTTTTACTGTGGATCGAAAATGTTATCTGTAGGAATGAATATGCCTGGGAATCATCTTGTACTCCAGGAGAAAGTATTAACTAAAAACAGTTTGGTTACTAGGAAAAAAGGTTTAGGAAGTGTCACGAGTAACCACGCGTGGGAAATTTTTTACACGTGGTAACTCGTGAGGACTGATCCGACAAGTATGAATATGAGATTTATTCATTAGTTTCTTAGGCAAGTTAGCTCAATAGTAGTATCGTAGCCTATATGTTCACTGTTATTAACAACCGAACAAAAGAAAGAAGTATTTGAAGCGTTCGGACAATATCACCGTTTATTAATGACTACTAAAACATATTTAAGAAGAGCACGTATACGTTTAGAGCGAGCTACAACAACAACAGCCTTATTATTATCAGTTGATAAAGATACATTATTGTTAATGATTGATCAAGTTATTAATTTATTAAGTAAATTTCATTATGTCCGTAGTTTGATCGATGATAAAATCAACGAACATCAGACCGTAACATGGTGGAGAAATGTAACACTAGGAGTATTGGCAACTGCTAGTGGCTTTGGTTTGATTTTCGGCTTTGCTGTTGCTTTGAAGGGAGTGTTAGTTGGTTTATAGCTGCCTGTGAACTAATCTTTCGGACATCTTCGATCAAGCTGATAACAAAGTTATTGGTCGACAGTTAGATGTATCGAGACTGTCGCCATTCTTAAAAATAGGGTGGACAAAACCCTTTTTCAGTGTTCAGAATATTCGACCGATTCAAAGGGCTCGTAGACTAATTTAGTGACTGGTTTAGTAATAGAAGAAATCATTTGGGGCTGTTTGTACAACAGCTGTAAGAAAAAAAAGCAGTAAGGGATGTATTGCCATTGATTTCAGTCCTGAAAGCACTATCTTATGTGCAAAGAAAGCAATCATTAATCGACTTAGTGAATGCAGTTGTTCTGAAACAAGCCTTTCAACTGGAAATTCCAGTAGAGATAACTTTCAACCAGTAATACAAAGCTAAAAATATTATTTATATTTTAAATTGCGTCGCCAAATATTCATCCCGAACCCGACCCGACCGTAGGGTCGGGTCGAGTTGAGGTCTCTACTTGAAGTCTAGGCTGTTTCGACGAGGCTTACTATGCTAAGATTGGTATGCTGCCAATAATGATTATCTAAACACAATAAAATTCGTTGATAATAAAACGAAACTTTAAGCATTTTATTTTGCTTCTAGCAGAAAAAGTATAATCTTCGTAGACTTGTGTCTTGTAAAATGAGGAGAGAAGTTATTCTGAAGCAAAACAAACCCGAGTTGTCTAGCATCCACCCGACATGAGAACGCTCGGAAGTGCATAAGACCTCTTTTTGACCCGTCTTGTAGCGTCCTTACTTGAAGGGTAGCAGATGGCGCTGTTAAAACATCCTGTCACTATACTTTCGTGTGATGAACATTTTCTGAAATTTTGGTTGAGATAGGACCTACCATGGCCGATATAGGTTTCTATCACCGTGAAGGGCTTAATTGAAAGTGCAAAGCACGGTATATACTTGAGATAAGACAATAAGTTTAGCGCATATATGACTCATTTAGTACTGCTCTTCAATGTTTTTTCAGTATAACCTAAGTCTTAATCTAAACGCAGTCACTCCTCCCGCATCTAAAACATGTCTTGACTTAGTTGTGTATGATTCTCTCTCTATGACACAAGACCGTCAAGTGCTTGCACCTCTGACTAGTAAAAATGATCGCAAAATGCTTCTGTGCATTTAAATACAAAAATAGATCTGATTCGAACTAGTGAGAAACTCATACACAACTGTGCAGCTGCGGATTAGAATGTGTTGCGCAGTAACCTGTCGCTTGTTCCCTGGAACAGAATTTTGTGTAATTATCTTTCTATCAATGATAAAATGTCCGCGTTTCAAGATATTATCTTCGAGCAAGTAAACAATTTTGTGCCGCATAAATTTGTTACAATAAAAGGCAGAGATAAAATCTGGTTTGATGATTCTCTATGGAAATTGTTCAATAAAAAAAATAATGCATTTAAACAATTTAAAAAGTTTTCAGATGGGAGCGTGGCGGAAGAAAATAATCTTCGAAAATACTTGGATGCCGTTTCTGATTTTGAAAGCTCATGCACCACTGTAAAGAAAAATTTGTATGAAAAAATATCCGACCGAGTCAATTCTTCCTCCAAAAAGTGGTGGGTTTTAGTGAAGCACATCTTAGGAAGACAAAAACCTTCGTCTGTTCCATCGCTGAAAAATGTGAATGGTGAACAAGTAAAAAATGCTCAAGAAAAAGCTGAAATGTTGAATGAATATTTTTCGAATACCTGTTAAATGGAAAAAAATTTTTATGAAAGAAAGGTTACAGTTTTTCCGAGTCGTACCAAAAAAACCTTTGATAAGTGTTATGTCTCTGATAACGATGTTTTTAAAATTCTTTCAAGCTTGAATATAAGTAAAGCCGGAGCTCCAGGCTTAAGTAATCGTGTTCTTCGTGAGCTTGCTTCTGTTATTTCTTCCCCCTTAGCAAATTTGCTAAATGAATTTTTTTCTTCTAGTATATTTCCAACGTGTTGAAACTCATTGTCACTTTCTTTTCCAATGCACCATACGAGATACATATAAATAATTGAATGTTGAATTATATATTTCAAGAAGCATCTTGACTAGTTTTAAACTAAAATTATTGTCAGCGTGACGTCTATAGTCCAAGCTTCTATATTTTCCTTAGATCATAAGTTATAAATGGCTATTTTTTTGCAGTCAGATTCAAATGGAAGGGAGCTTGGTATTGGTCGCTATTTTCGCTATAGATTATTCTCACCTAGTTGAGAAGTACGTTTATGTGTTATTATTCAAAACTGTAAAAAGAGCACCGTGCTAGGCGAAAAGACGACTAAAGTCCGTGTTAGCTTTTTGTCACTTGCCTCCTAGTAAAAACCAATTTGACAACGACCACTGTTTTCCCAAGTTCATCAAACAAAGCGAATTATAGTGTCTGATATTTCCAGGTGCGTAGTATCAAAATATGATAGCAAAAATCCTTGTTGATGATTTCTGTTTTTGGATGACTCTTTTTGGAAAAGATCAGAACCATTTAGTTTTTGCTGAGGAAAGTTTTAATTTCGTGTGTAAAATGAAAAACTAAATTATGTTGCGTTTCTTGCTTCCCTGGCTATTAAAATTGTTAATCTAATCTGTAGGTTCTTCGTCAAAAGATTTCAGCTCACACACTAACTTCGCGGCATTGCTAATCAATTTTTACGAATTCAGGTTATTCGATTGAGTCAATCAATGGTAAACAATGGGAACAGTTGATTGTCACTAATTTACCCGACTTGCCTAAATTTGAATTTTTTGTATATGTTCCATCGTACACGTTCCATGGACTACATGATCCCGACCTTGATCAGTTGGCGTTGGCATTTAAAACTCCATTCTGGCTCGGTCGAAAATGGTTCTTTACCTTTGATTATTGGTCAGGTAAAGGCCTTACACTTTATCGTGTAAACTGTCTTCCATGCCGCTGGGGACGTCGTTTGAACTACGAACTATCTCCACCTCGATCGAATCTTGCAACGATAAATTATTTGACAATGTTGCCTGATTGGACATATACACTACATCACCATTATCTACTACTAATTCAATCTTATCATCACGCCGTTATCCAAATGTCGTATATTTGTCACTGATAGACTGTCAAGCTCAAACATCAGCAGTGGTTACCGAGCTGTTAACGCAAGACGATCTGAAACAGCTGACCACAATTTTCACAAATAACTGTTCGCTGTCGACAATAATGACATTGAATAAGCAACTGTGTCGACGGATAAAGACTCTATCGGTGCACGATGTAGCAACATTAGAGTTAAAATTGTTACTAAAATTGGTAGAGTCATTCAATACGTTGGAAACACTTTTTATTACATTCATTAGTGTAGAGAGTGTTTACATTCTGCTTACGATGATTCTACGAAAACTGAAAACGCTAAAACATTTGGAAATATCATTTGAAAGCAATGATATTCAGCTATTTCAATCGAATGAATTCAAGCGATGGTTCCAAGATTTTATCCAGTTAAATCGAATAAAATCTGACTATGAATTTGACAGCGAAAATGACGACGGACACAAGCTACACTTGATGCTTTATGCACAAAATATTTAGCAGCTCGTTTCATTATGCGATCATTGTTATTTTTACTAATATTTTAACAAATGCGAGACATACTGAACATAAGATACGGGATCAAATGCATATTAATGATCATGGCACTGGTCGGACGC